GCCCTCCCCCCGGGCTGCCCTCCCCTCTCCCCCTTGCCAACACAACCCCAACCAACCCCCAGGAGCATTCCCTGGTGATGGTGCGCGGCGGCCGAGTGAAGGACCTGCCTGGCGTCAGGTACCGCGTCATCCGCGGAGTCTATGACGCCGGGCCCGTGAAGGACCGCCGCCGGGGGCGCTCCAAGTACGGCGCCAAGCGGCCGAAGAAGTGAAGCGGGCCGCAGGAGATGGGCACGCCTCACCCTGGGGCGCTCGGCGCTGCGGGGGACGTCCGGCTGCGAAGTTGCGCTCCGCGGGGGTTCATAATGACGAGCTGGCGGGCGCGCTGCCGCCTGGCGGCCAGGTGCGACGTCCGCGGCGCGCCCGGCTGCCGCGCCGACGCGAGGCGGCGGGCCGCGCTTGCTGTGGTCTGCTCTGGACCAAGCGGCCGCGACGTGAGCGGTGGTGTAATCCAGACGCATCCCACAAGTCACGCGCAGCTGCGCAGCCTGATGACAGCCCTGACAGGTGCACACATACACACCCAAGAGGTGGATGAAGCTGCTGGGTGTGTCTTGCAGCTGTCAGAGCAAAGCAACTCCTGGGCAGTCCAGTATGAGTAAAAAAACTAAGCAGGCTGCCAGCTCGTCACAGCCGAGGGGGATGAGGGCGCGTGGGAGAGAAAGAAAAGCGGGGGGGACAGAGAGCTCAGTGTGCTCGTGGCAAGAGTGGGACAGACAGGGAGACAGAGTTTGTGGGTGAGATGGGGCGGGCGAGAGAAAGAGTGTGTTGGGGTACCGTATGTGTGTGTGGGAATCGTATGTGTGTGTGCGTGTGCGTGTGTGTGTGTGTGTGGTGTGTGTGTGGGTGGGTGTATGTGTGCATCAGACAGGGGATCCTTTAACGGTTCGCACCCTGTGCTCTGGCGGGACCCTGCCCTGTCTGGCGCTCTCACGTTGTTGCCAGGGATCCTGGGTTCCAGGCGGGCCGCCCGCACTCACTGGCTGAGGGGAGAGCAGCACAGCCGAGGTGCAGGGCGTTGCAGCGGGCACAGGGACCCATCCCTTTAGAGTCCCGCCGCGGAGCTGCGTCCTGCTGCTGGGGCCCCAGATGAGCCTGATTACAGGCAAGCCGGCGGATGTCGACTCGGCTAACGACAACAATGTAAAAAGGGGCGCCTCGCGCGCGTTTCCATACATGTATGCAGTACCGCAGGACAGCAGCAGCCGCAGAAGCTGCAGGCCAAGCACGCGCCGTGCGCGCAGCATGAGCAATGCCAGGCCAGATGCTAGGGGTTCAAGGAAAGGGTGGCTCATCAGAATGGAAGGTGGAGCATACGAGCAGGAAGAGCTCCTGCTTGCAAGGAATTTCACATGCACCCTGGAACAACGAATGCACGCGCCGACAAAGCGGCACCGCGCGGCAGGCGGCCCCGCTTTCACCGCGGCCGCCCGCCCAGCCGCGCCGGCGACGCCGCGGCGCCGCCCTTCCCGCCGCCGCCCTTCCCCGGCCCGCCCTTGGCCGCCGCATGCTGCCGGATCCGCTCCATCTCCTGCGGCGTGAAATGCAGCAGCCGCGACAGCACCCCAAACATGGACCCGTCTTTCGGCAGCTCCCCGGCCTCGAACCCGCTGACGATCACGGATCTGAGGTACAGCGCGTCGCGATCTGTGATCTGGCCGACGCCCTCGAGCCGCGCGACCTCGTCCAAGGACGCGCGCAGCCGCCTGTCCGCCTCGTCGTACGCGGACCGCCACTGCTTCGCTTGGGCTTCCAGTTCAGCCAGCCGCCGCCTCACCGCAGCCGGGCCCTCCGGGACGCCCCCGCTGCCGCTGTTGTTGCCCGGAGAGAGGGGCCCCTCGTCGTTCGAGAGCCGGAGCGTGGACAGCGGCAGCGACAGCGGCGGCAGCACGGCGTGCGCGGCGTGGCGGGGGTCGTCGGGGACGGGGCTGGGCTCCTCGTGGGCGGTGATCTCGGGCGGCGGCTGCAGGTGCTGCACGCGTGGCGCACGGGGGCTGGCGCCGGCGTCTGAGGCGCGCGGCGCGCCGCTGCCGCC